GTATGGAGCAGCTGGGAGCAACCTGTTTGCATAGAACAGGGGTCTTCAAACTTGGCAACTTTAAGACTTGTGGATTTCAACTCCCAGAATTCCTCAGCCAGCCCTGAGGGCTGGCTGAGGAATTCTGGGAGTTGAAGTCCACAAGTCTTAAAGTTGCCAAGTTTGAAGACCCCTGGCATAGAACAATGTTTCTCAACTGTGGGCCCTTTAAGACTTCTGGACTTCAACAACTGACGTCAAGCCCTCTTAAAGCTCTCTAGCATGATGGCTGAGGGATTCTGGGAGTTGAAGTCCACTCCTCTTAAAGCTCTCTAGAATGATGGTTCAGGGATTCTGGGAGTTGAAGTCCACTCCTCTTAAAGCTCTCTAGCATGATGGCTGAGGGATTCTGGGAGTTGAAGTCCACGCCTCTTAAAGCTCTCTAGCATGATGGCTGAGGGATTCTGGGAGTTGAAGTCCACGCCTCTTAAAGCTCTCTAGCCTGTTGGTTGGGGAATTCTGGGAGATGAAGTCCACACATTTTAAAGTTGCCAAGGCTTACTGTGCTCTGATTTAAATTCACCCAAGTGCCTGAAGCCACAGAACATACAAAGGTTGGCTAGCTATTGTTCAAATGGGCTGCTGAACACACCCAGCCTGAAGGGAAGGCTGGCCAGAGCACTCGGGATCACAGTGCCAGGGATAGTGTGGAAAAATCACAAGGAGGTTGGTAGCCTAACAACTCCCAACTTCACAAACTTTGAGCTTCTCCCCCGGCTATCATTTCTCTGTTCTAGAATGGCATCCAATCTTGCTTAATGTTAGATTCCTACGATGCTTTCATTTTGTACAACTCAAAAGTGGTCTACTTAATGCTATTTTCTCTACCACAATAATCCAGGGAGATGGGCTGACAAACAGGGGACTGGCCCAAAGCCACTCAGCTGGCTTTCATGCCTAAAGCAAGGCTAGACCGTATGGTATCCCAGTTCCTAGTCCAGCAGCTTCACCCCTGCCCTAGACTCAACTCTTGACAGGTTATTTTTTTGACAGTCTCTATACTGTCCTATAACATTCGGGATCGCATGAGGGAAGAAAACATTCCCTCAAAAAAAGGCGAAAATATTTACTTGTAATCAAAGTAGTAGCATTTGAGCTGGGCCATGTATCTTTCAAAAGATGGGATGTCTTTCTTTAAAATGCTCCACTGGGCTCCGATTTCTAAAATGTCTCCTTGAAAAGGGAAGATAAGAACAGGCAGAGCATGAAAAACAACAACAACAACAATAATAATCCTTGGTAAGGACTCGATAGGTACACAAAATGCCAAATCCAGTCTGAACATCTGGCTGACTGTGTGATGATCATAATAATAATAATGACACAACAAGCAAGGACAGCAAAAAAACACAGGGCCAACAGTTGGCCTTTCAGTGGGTAAACCTCGCTGACCACCAGTCAATTCAGAGCAAATGACCAGGATGCAGGAACAAATGACCTGGATATTTATTAAGTCATAGGCAATGACTTCCTGTGTTCCAGCAGGATGGAATTATAACAGGCGTGACCTCTGTCTTCCCCGTGCTGTTAAAATGAGTCACGTGAGGCATTTTAAACCCTACACAAAAATTCAGCCAAAATCCAATCTGCACCTCATGATCCATCAATTTTCCAATTAGGGCTTATATTCTGGAAAATACAGTATTAAATGAGTCCATCTGGCTGACAGCCAGAACTGGGGCTTATTTTTGGGATGGGGCTTATATTACGAGCGTCCTGGAAAAAAAATCATGCTCGGGCTTATTTTCCATCTGGGTCTTATTTTTGGTCATTAAGGGAAAAAGGCTTTCTGACGTGGAAGGACAATTCTGTTCGCTGCTCAGCTTGGTGGCCAGAATTTCAGGGATTAGGGCAGAATTTCCTGAGGCCTCTTCCAAAATTGGAAGGCATCCGATCGAGCTATGTGCAGGCTTGCATAATACTCACTTGCCAAAATAAGCTGCTGTTTAGTCAATTTGGTGCCAGTGGTGGGCAGGAAATTCAGCTCCAGCAGAGCCAACTGTAAGGCAAGAGGAGAAATGACAAACAAGCCACCTTGCAGACAATCAAGCTCCCCACAATGTACTACAATCTCCTCTAAGGCGGAAAACACCATCGATGGCGTACGATCCCCTGCGACAGAGGTGGGGAACTAACCAGGGCCCCTTTACGACTTGTGGACTTCAACGCCCAGAATTCCCGAGCCAGCATGGGAATTGAAGGCTGGCTGGGGAATTCTGGGCGTTGAAGTCCACAAGTCATAAAAGGGCCCAAGTTGCCCACCCCTGCCCTACAGCGATGTTTCTCGCCCTCGGCAACTTTCACGGTGTCTGGATTTCAACGCCCAGAATTCCCCAGCCTGCTATCCTAAAGTAATCAAAATTGAGAAACAATGCTCTATAGACATAATTCTCCTAGTAGAAGAAAAGGAACAGCCTGTGTACAACTCCTACGTTACAAAGCGAGGACCCTTTCTAGTGTTTGCAGTCCTGGACAATTCAAAGCGGATATTGCCATGTAAAGGGGAGCTGTTATCTCAGTTCCACATTCGGCTAGTCCCCAATGTACAGTTGGTCGCTTAAATGACTATTCAAAGTTACAACAGACTCCTCAAAAGTTACAGGTAGTTCTCACCCCACAGCAAACAATTAAGGACCACTGCAACAAGAAAAAAAAAGGTTGTAAAATTGGGTGTATCATATGATGATCCCCTTTGCAACCATCATGACTTACGACTTTAATGGGCAGGCTCCATTAGGGTCATAAATGGAGGACTACCTGTATGCTACATGAAATATTTTTTTAAATAGCAATGTATTAATAATAAACAAACAAACAGAACCACTGACAGCTGCCACAGTCCGAGCCTCTAATTTCAGAGACAATCCACCCTTGCTGATAAAAACTTTGCTTTAACAAGGATTCCTTCTGGCTGCAAGCAGAGGTGAAGCATTAGGCTGGAGGGAGCGTGTGACTCAACAGAGAAATTAATACAGGAAAAAACAAGCAAGCTGGATCATTCACCTCCCTCCCCAGTTTGAAATGTCATTTATATTTGCTTGTTTATTACTATATCTTACATGCTGCTCCACTTTCAGGGATTCTGAACCCCTTTACAGTATTAATTCAAAGATCCAAAAGAAAAATCAGTTTTAATAAAGTTGTATTCACCGTTTGGGAGAGTAGTCTTTCTGGAACCGGCTCTATAAACGCCTTTTTTCTTTTTGGTGGTGGCCCCTGATCTGTGGAACAATCCTCCCCAAGACAAGATGGTTCCCCCAACTCTTCTTAGGAAAACTATTCTGGTTTTTCCATCCTCAGCATTACAGGTCAGTTGGGGGGGGGGGAAGGGTGCCACCGTTTGGTATCTATTCAGGTGGACAGTGATTACTATTTATATGTTAGTTATATATAAGGGTGTAGGTCTATACAGCTTGGCTGGCTCAGGAATTCTGGGAGTTGAAGTCCACGAGTCATAAAAGAGCCAAGGTTGCCTACCCCTGGTCTATAAATATGTTGTATGTAGTATGTTTAAATGTGTGTTATGGAGAGCCAGCAACTAAATTTCACTTTTAGTGTGTGCCATTGTGCCCACAGTAAAAAATGGCAATAAAGTTTATCTATCTATCTATCCTATCCTATCCTATCCTATCTATCTTATCTATCATTTAAAGATTCATAAAGCTGCCCAAGTCAGACAGCACGATTGATATATATGTTCGTATTTTAACTTTGTATTGGGTTTTTTTGTTGTTTGGTTTAGGATTTGTTTTCACGCTGTATGCCACTCGGCGTGAAATTCCTTACAGTGGCCTTCTTTTCTTTATTAAACCTCGACACCGCCCATCTGTCTTCCAGCTTACAATCCATAAAAGCAACAATTAGGTTAAAATAACAGCAAGATTAAAATCGATTTACTGGACAATAATTAGAGAAATAAAACGACAGGCACCTCGCTTTTAAAGAAAGGCCATTTGGGTCTTACGGCAAAAGAGCTTCTTCGCCAGCCAGCGTCTCTTGGCCCTGTTGTTTCTCCCCCCGTCCTCTTCGCCCAGATCTCCCATATGCCATGGAAGTAGTCCTCTCACAACGGTTCATTTAGTGACCGTTCAAAGTTACAACGGCACCGATACAAAGTGACTTAGGACCGTTTTTCACACTTACGACCGTCTCAACATCCCCCTGGTCACGGGACTTACATTCAGACGCTCGGCAGCCGGTTCATATTTATGACAGTTGGAGCGTCCTGGGGATCACGGGATCCCCTTTTCACGACCTTCTGACCAGCAAAGTCCAATGGGGAAAAAAGCCAAATTCACTTAACAACCCTGTCCTTAATTGAACCCCGGCAGTGTTTCACTTAGCAACAGTGGTGGGCCAGGTCGTAAAACGGGGCCAAGCTCCTTTAAGAAATGTCTCACTCAACAGGTGAAAGGTGCTTGGCCTCCGCTGTGGTCGTAAATCGAGGACCCCCCCGTAGATGCGGCCTATCTTCCACAGCCTCCTTCCCAAGTCACCCGGGCTGCCTTCTTCAAGCTTCCGGATCCCTGGATTACTCGTCGCCTCCCCCGCTCAGCCCTTCGGCACCAAGTTCTGCTTCCCCGTTTTGTCTGTTTCTAATCTCCCCCCCCCCGACGGCAGTTTCAAGCATCCCCCCAAGTTCCCACCAGGCGGTTTCTAGTTTCCCCCCCTCCCCAGCCCCCCCCCTCCCCGGCCTCCTCTCACCTTAAGGCGGCCCAGCAAGTCGCCGCACTTGGTCAAGCTGAGGTTCTTGCGGTTCCACTCGGCCCGCAGCTGCTCGTACATCCCCGCCGCTTCCTTCAGCCCCGCCGCGTCGGCCCCATTCAGCACCGGGCCGCCGGCCGCCGCCATCATGGCCACCGCCGAAGCCATGAATCTGCACCCGGCGGGACCGTCGCGAAAAGGCCGCAAGTCGCCAGCGCGCTTTACGGCCGCGCCCGTCAAGCGTAGCGTCTCCCTTGGCAACGGCGGCGGCGGCGCGCGCGGAGCCGGCGGTCGGCTCGTGCTTCGCCCGATTGGCTGGAGTTTGGCGCATGCGCTGAACGGATTCTAAAAAACAACAACCGCTCGCGCCGCCTGCTGGCGCCGGTTGAGGGGAGAGTTTCGAGGTGTGGGGAGGATTAAACGGCGTTTCGGTGCGGGGTTTGGGGAAGGGGGGGGAAAGGGCAGGGCAGACCCCATCCTCACTAAAGCGGAAAGCGTGGCAATCGGAGGTGATTTTGACGTGACACGGCGTCGAAGTAGCTAGGTCTCCTGTTTCAGGGGGAGATGTCAGTGACGGCCGGTGACGTCGCTGGGCCCGGTGACGTCATCGCGTCAGCGCTTCCGTCTCTAAGCTGCACCAGCTCGGGAGACCGCTGAATGGCAGCAGAGAGAGTTTCCTCTTTTCCGCCCTCTAGTGGTTTCTGCAGCCCGGATATGTGGAGGCTCCAGAAAGATTAAACCAGGGTTGGCTGAGGAATTCTGGGAGTTGAAGTCCGCAAGTCCTAAAGTTGCCAAGTTTGAAAACCCCTGGATTAAACCTAAGTTTAATTATGAGTTTATAAACTTAATAATAAGTTTATTATGAGCCGAGGTGGCGCAGCAGTTAGAGTGCAGTAGTACTGCAGGCCACTTTAGCTGACTATGTTCAGCAGGTCAGCGGTTCACATCTCACCGGCTCAAGGTTGACTCAGCCTTCCATCCTTCCGGGGTAGGTAAAATGAGGACCCAGATTGTTGGGGGCAATGTAAATATATATATATACATTGCTTACTGGTGTACAGCGCTTAGAGAGTGCTCGCACTTAAAGCGGTATATAAGTCTCATAAATAAATAAATAAATAAAATAAGTGCAGGTAGTCCTCGACTTACGACCACAACGGAGCCCCCAGTTTCCCTTGAGACATCGGTTGAATGATGCCCCATTTTTACGACTTTTCTTGCCACCGCTGTTAAGTGAAACAGGACAGCTGTTAGTGACACGGTTGTTAGGCTTCCTCGTTGACTTTGCTTGTCAAAAGGATGCAAAACCATGACTCCGGGACACAGCAGTGGTCATACATACGAAGCGGTTGCCAAGCATCTGAATCCTGATCACATGACTACGGGGATACTGCAAAGGTGGTAACTCTGAGAAATGGTCATAAATAGGGTAATAACATCAAACCTCAACCTTTTACTTCTTCATAATAATATAAACTAGCCATTTCTATAACAGCGCACCTATTAATTGGTAAAACCCCAAGTTAAAGTTTCATATTTTTTTTCCACCTGAAGCACAAAGTCCGGAAGCAGTTTTCAAGTCGAAACAAAAGTAATTGTATGTTTTTTTTTCTTTGATTAAAGCAGTCAATTTGGACACCTCTGCTAACTCCCTCAACGTTTGCAACCATTCATCCATTGTAGGAATCAAAGTGTGGTTCTTTTTAATGGAAAAAGACGGTTCCAAGTCTTTTTCCATGAAACCCAGAAGAAAAGTTTCTGCTTTTATCTTTATATTCACTTTGAGAATCTTCTGTGTTAAGATGTGAATCCTACTCCAATATTTCTTTGCTTGATCCAATGTTGAGCAAGCCAGCCAAAATGTCTCATATTTAGCCTCTCTGTTTATTACAGGAAGTCCTCGACTTATAACTGTTCATTTAGTGACCGTTCCAAGTTACAACGGCCCTGAAAAATGTGACTTAGGGCAGTTTTTCACTGTTACAACCTTTGCAGCATCCCCAAGATCATGTAATGAAAAGTCAGATGCTTGGCAACCGGTTCATACTTATGACCATGACTGTGTCCCAAGATCAAGCGATCCCCTTTTGCGACCTTCTGACAACCCAAGTCAGTGGGAGGGCCAGATTCACTTAGCCAGGTTACTAACTGATCCGCTGCAGCGATTCACTTAACGAGAACGGTCGTAAAATGGGGCAAAACGTACTTAACAAACATCTCACGTAGCGGCAGAAATTTTGGGCTCGGTCGAGGTCGTAAGTCAAGGACTACTTTTTGAAAAGGGACTATCAAAATGAACGTCTGAACGCTGGGTTTGTTTGCTTCCTGCTAGGTTTCTTTGGCCAGAAGCGTCCGTGATGTGGCAACCTTTTCTGCCCAGCCTGCTTTTTCTCCTCCTCCAACTGAAGCTTTGCCTCTCGCTGAGACAATGCAAGTGGTTTACTTCCCTCATTGACACCCCGAATCTCATGGGACTCTCCAGCAGCTTCATCAACCAGGAAGAAGTTCGCGAAGTGGCCGCCATCTTCCATGAACTCAAAGACTCACCGGTAGATCCCAACGACAAAGATGCAGTAAGTACCTTTGAGTACGTGAAAGACAGGAGAGCAGAAAAGAGCATTTTGTTCCTAGATCCTGCGAGGATCCTGACTAAAGCATGGAAGACACAAGACAGGCAAATGGGAATTCTTGTTTTTACACAACATAGATGGGTAGACCACATATGTAACCACAGTGGGGACGGATATCTACTGCTAAGCAAGGCGATTGTTAGAGTTAGGGTTACTACTGCTAAGCAATTGTTAAGTGACTTGCGCCTGATTTTATCTGTCTATCTGTGCCTGTCCGTCCGTCCATCCATCCATCCATCCATCTTTTACATACCTATTTATTCATCCATCCTCTCATCATCTATCCATCATTTACGTATATATCCATCCATCACTCATTCATCTCTTTCATCTCTCTCTCTGTATCTATCCAAATCTTCGAGCCGAGGTGGCACAGCAGTTAGAGTGCAGTACTGCAGGCCACTTTAGCTGACTGTGTTCAGCAGGTCAGCGGTTCAAATCTCACCGGCTCAAGGTTGACTCAGCCTTCCATCCTTCTGAGGTAGGTAAAATGAGGACCCAGATTGTTGGGGGCAATGTAAATATATATATATACATTGCTTACTGGTGTACACTGCTTAGAGAGTGCTTGCACTTAAAGCGGTATATAAGTCTCATAAATAAATAAATAAATCTCTCTGTCTGTCTCTCTATCTATCTATCTATCTATCATCTATCTATCATCTATCTATCATCTATCTATCTGTCTGTCTATCTATCTATCTATCTATCTATCTATCTATCTATCTATCTATCTATCCATCTATCTATAATCTAGTTATCTAGCTATCTATCAAACTGAGATAGATGGGCAATTCAGAAATGCGAAATAATAATAGTAACATAATGATGATGATGATGATGATGTAGTTGGAAGGGACCTTACAGGTCATCTAGTCCAACCCCCTGCTCAGGCAGGAAACCCTATCCCATTTCAGACAAATGGCTGTCCGGTCTCTTCTTAAAAACTTCCAGTGTTGGAGCGTTCAGAGCTTCTGGAGGTAGGTTGTTCCATTGGTTAATTGTTCTGACAGTCAGGAAATTTGGTGAATTACTCACGGGAGATCTAGATGATAACAGCTCTCACGAGTCTTACGAAAAAAACAGTGCTGTGTCTGATATCCTATAAAGACTTCTGAAAATGACTCTTATTTCTTTTTTTAAAGCGTTACTATGGATTTCCATACTTCCTGAAAGTAACTCTATTTTGCATCTATCGGGTAAGGATGAAACGTGCCCGTAATGGGTCAGGGTTCCTTGACAGAGAGGAATTAGGTTTGGCAGGGCCCTGCTTTAGTCCGTCAGAATAGAGCTGGAAGGGACCTTGGAGGTCTTCTAGTCCAGCCCCCTGCTCAAGCAGGAGGCCCTATGCAATTTGAGACGAGTGGCCGTCCAGTCTCTTCATACCAGCTGAAAGTTGACTCAGCCTTCCATCCTTCTGAGGACCCAGATTGTTGGGGGCAATATAGAAATGAGGCTTCTACGTTGTAAACCGCCCAGAGAGTACGTCTACATTGCATATAGGCCCCGGAGCTGTGGGGTGGTATATAAGTCTAAATGCAATTGCTATTGCTTCTACTGTTGCTATTGAATGCCCCCCCCTTCAGTAATTGGAGAAGGGTAGGGGGGCCAACGTCTGGAGTGGGCCTGCCGGTGCTGTAGGAAGCCAGCACCACCCAGTCCTCCGAGTTCATTTGCTTAGAATTATTATTATTTCTTCAAGGTATTATTTACCCACCACCTCGCCACGGGGAGGGGGGCTAGGCTTACAGCAATAAAAACAAACAAACAAACAAAGAAAAAAAGAATTGCTTGCCCTTCTCCTTCCAGACCCAACAGATGGCCATCCGGGTGGGCCACTACAGTGGACTGAGACCCATCGTGAGGGTCTCCTTTGAAGAACCCGTCAACCCCGTGCGCCAGAAACAGGAACGTTTACGGATCGAAATGATGACCGCCCCACACCGGATGAACGGTGGGTTTGGTGCAGGGAGCGTTTCGGCCCGGCGAGGCTGGAGAAGCGAAAAGGGTCTTCCCTCCTGCCCACATACCAGGTGTCCTTCGTGGTCTTCGAAAAACAGGGCACCTTTGATCCGGTTTGACCCCTTAAAATCTTCCTTTCCCAGTTCCGATGGCCCGTGCTCAAAGTGAATTAGCTGCTGACATTTGGGAGAGGTGGCACGGCTCACCCCCCCCCCTCAAAGTGGGATGTTCCGTTTGGGATTAGCATGTCGGGGTATAAACCCAGATTTCTTTTTAACTTGCGCCTTTGATCTCCGTTGCTAAGCAAGATGGTCCTTAAGCGAGTCACGCCCAATTGTAGGACCTGTTTTGCCAGAGTTGTTCAGCGTATCGCTGCAGTTATTAAATGAATCATGCAGTCATTAAGCAAAACCAGCTTCCTCCATTGATTTAGCTTGTCAGAAGTAGTTGGGGGGGGTTGTCACAAATGGGTATCACCTAACTCCTCCCCCAAGGCAAACTGCAACTGTCATAAATAGAGGCTGGTTCCCAAGCTCCCCAGTTTTGATCGCAGGACTGTGGAGATGCTGTCATTGTGAGTGCAAGGATCGGTGGGCAGCCTTTTGTTTTTCACTTACTCTTGTAACTTCGGTCACCAAACGAATGGCTGTAAATCAAGGACTACCTGCATCAGCCAGAATTAAAGACAAGGGTGACTTCACTTGGTGGGTCACTTGTCTGCCACAAGCCTGTGGCAATCAGTCTGCCCACTTACTGACAACTTAACAAAAACCTCCATTGTTAAGGCAGACATTTCTTAAGTGAGCGTTGCCCCCTTTTACGGCCTTTCTTGGCACAGTTGTTAAGTGAATCGCTGCAGTCGATACGTTAGTAACCAGGTTGTTAAGAGACTCTGACTTCCCATTGACTTGGCTTGTGAGAAGGTCACAAAAGGGGATCCCTGCAATAAACGTAAAGCCGTTGCCAAATATCTGAATTTTGATCACAGGACCCTATGGGGATGCTGCAGAAGTCATCACTGCGAGGAACGGTCATAAGTCACGTTTCTCAGTGCCGTTGTAAGCTTCAGTGGTCACTGAATGAACTGCTTGTCAGTCGAGGGCTACATGTAGAACATCCTTCTGAAAAGAATGTAAAAATCGTGCCTCGTAATACAGAGCAGATTTCTGCTCACATAAGTGTTTCAGGAAGCAGCCCAGGCTGTGTGACGTGCTACCCTCTGTCTCTCCAGATTCAGACTATTGTGATAGTGAGGAAGTTTGCAAGATGTTTTGGTTCGCTCCAATGCCGTTCCTGAACGGTAGTGTTGTGACCCGTGTTCTGGTGAGGACTAACGGCTTTGGGCTCCCTATACTCAACAGGAGGTAAGCAGAGGCTGGGGATAATGGTCTTTCTAGCCATCCCTGTTGCTAAAAGCTTCTAGCAAAGGAATTCGTTCTACACGCCATTTATTTGTTTGTTTGTTTGTTTTTATCCCACATTTATTATCTTTTTTTTTTACAAATAACTCAAAGCAGTGAACAAATCCCAACACACCTCCCTCTTCCTGTTTGACCCACAACAACAACAACAACCCTGTGTGGTGAGTTGGGCTGAGAGAAAGCGACTGGCCCAAGGTCACCCAGCTGGTTTTCGTGGCCAAAACAGGACTGGAACTCACCTCTCCTAGTGATTAGCCCAAACTCGCCCGACTGCTTTCAGGCCTAAGGCGGGACTAGAACTCACGTCTCCTGGCGGAAGTCACCCAGCTGGCTTTCCATAGCTAAAGCAGGACTAGAATCTCACGGTCGTCCGCTTTCTAGCCCGGTTGCTTGAACCACTAGATCAAATTGCCTCTCAAACCACTTTGTTGGAACCAAACCTTCCGAGTCCTCCCTTTCCGGAAGGTCTCCCGCTGTGGTCGTAAGACCATTTTATTCTAAATTGCTCGATTCCCTTCTCCCCCATTTATCCCCCTCCCTCCTTTGTTGCAGCTCTCTTGGACCCAACTGCCATATCACAGTGTGGGAAGTCAGCCCCCCCCAGAGAAGGAAATATTAAAAAGGGAAGAAAAATATATTTCCTCCAAGGATCTTTTTTTTTTTAATAATTTTTTTTTAAATTTTCCATTTATTCGTACAAAATGCAATTCAATTCACAAGATAAAATAAATTCCTAACCATTGGTACCGCCTGCCCATTCCCTCCAGGCCGTGTCCACCCTCTCTATTACCTTCCCTACTTCCCTCCTCTTTCTCTCCTCCCCTCCTACTCTCCCCTCCCCTTCTCCTCTTACCATCCTACTTCTTCCCTGCACCTTCCTCCCCTCTCATCCCTCTCAAACACATGAACGCAGCATAGGGGAAATGCCCAAGCGGCACCTCTCTATAAACTACCCTAACTCTCCAAGGATCTTAAAGAGGCAGAAAAGCATGCCCAGTTTTCTTAATAGCCCCAAGTCTCCCTCCCTGAAGCAGAAGCCAGCTCTGTAGAAATACAGATGTAAATAATTCAGGAAGGTTGAAGCTAGAAGATTAAGAAGACAAAGTCTCCTAAAGTCTACACACCCCACCCAAATTCTTAAGACAGGACATAATAGGATTAACCCCACAGATGCCAAAGGGCACACTCAGACTCAGGTCAAAGTTCATGCCACAGGAACAACTCCAAACAAAAGGCTCCAGAGGGTACAAAAACCCACTCCCTACATGTGCTCACTCTTTTCTTCCAGAGCCATCTTCCTGTCTGGCTCTCCTCGTCAATAAACTGCAACCTTCTTTCTAAAGCAGTCGCCATGTTGTTTATTCCCGGCTTGGACTGAACCCCGATGAAGACTTTTCCTTCAACAGCAGTCTAATTTGATCTGGCAGACAAGTTATTCATACACGTAGTCAAGGCAATATTCCTATGCAGACGCTTCCTCTTATCCTCTTCTTCCTAGGTTCTACATTAACATAAATGGATACATGGAACCTTCCGAGAGATCGGAAAGATTCAGGATTGGAAAAAAGGTGACTTGCTGTGGGTCTTGGGTTTGCAAATGTAGACATAGGAAGCTTGGAAAGAGCCAGGGGTCTTCATAAGCAGGCTTGCATTCGACGGGTCAAATGCCTCTTTTGCTTCTCCCTGGACCAGGGGTCCTCAAACTCGGCCCTTTTATGACTCATGGACTTTAACTCCCAGAATTCCCGAGCCAGCATGGCTGGCTCGGGAATTCTGAGAGTTGAAGTCCATGAGTCATAAAAGGGCCGAGTTTGAAGACCCCTGCCCTGGACAAAGGTTGCTGCTGCAGTTGCTTTCAGTCGTGCATCTAGCCATCCCCAAGATGCTTTTTTATGAGGCAACTGGACTTCCCTGTTTTTCTTTGAAGATATCTTTGGGATAACTATGACCTGGATGATTGCGAATCTCCCATCGATCCAGCCATCCCTTTAAGAAGGACTAGAGCAGTGGTTCTCCACCTGTGGGTCGGGACCCCATTTGGGGTCGAACGACCGTTTCACGGGGGTTGCCAAACAACGCAGTCCGCCATTTTTTTCCCCCTTTTCCTTAGCTGTGCTACTCCCTTTTATTCTATTGGCTTTTGAAAGCCAATAGAATAGACTCTCTTGAATAGAGTCTCATTCTATTGGCTTTCCAAAGCCAATCGGAATTGTCCAGGCTGTCTCTGCCCTGCTCAGCCCGCCAAAAGCCCCATTCTGCAAACGGTGCTGCACCAGTTGAGTAGTCCTCGACTTACGACCGGTTGGGGGTCGCGGCATTAAAAAGGTTGAGAACCACTGGACTAGAGGACTAGAACTCCCAGTCTCCTGTTTTCTAACCCAGCTTCTTAACCACCACCAAACCAAACTGACCCAACTCTTCCCATCTCCTCACACATAGAAAATTGACCCCAGTTGGAAATAGGTGCAGTTGAGCTTCGCTTAGGGCCAAGAGTGCTGTGATCCAACTAGAATCTGTGGCTTAACAGAGCTGGAAGGGACCTTGGAGGCCTTCCAGTCCAACCCCCTGCTCAGGCAGGAAGCCCAATACCATTTCAGACAAGTAGCTGTCCAGTCTCTTCAAAAACTTCCAGTGAGGAAGCACCCGCCATTTCTGGAGGCAAGTCGTTCCACTGACGAATTGTTCTCACTGTCGGGAAGTTTCTCCTTACTTCCGGGTTGCTTCTCTCCTGGATTAGTCCCCATCCATTGCTTCTTCTTCTCCTGCTTTCAGGGGCTTTGGAGAGTTAGGTTGACCCCCTCCTCTTCTTAGTGGCAGTCCCTCAAATACCGGAAGACTGCCATCCCGTCACCCCTGGTCCTGCTTTTCATTAAACTAGACCGCGGGTCTTCAAACCTGGCCCTTTTATGACTCGTGGACTTCAACTCCCAGGATCCCTCAGTCCACAAGTCATAAAAGGGCCAGGTTTGAAGAGGTACCCAATTCCAGCGACTGTTCTTGATAGGTTTTAGGCTCCAGTCCCTAAACACCTCTGGCTTCACATCGTGGAATTCAACCTTCTGTTGATGGGCAAGCGCTGACCGTTTCTTTTGTCTCCCTCTCTGGTTGAGTACAGTTGTACAGCCTGAAGAAAATCTTTGGGCTGAAGGACCCGTCGCGCCCTTTGTGGGCCACCCACCAGCAAGCCCCCGTGCTGATCCTGGGAGGGATCCCGGAGAAGAAAGTCGTCATCATTTCAGATACGAGCTTTGATACATTTCACGTAATAGAGGTAAAGAGGGAGGGAAAAAAGAGATCACTACAGGCAGTCCTCAGCTTACAACAGGTCACTTAGTGACCATTCCATTGTTACAACATCCCTCGGGGAGGAAAAAAAAAAGCAACCGACGACCGTTTCTCACACGTTGCAATGACCGTTGCAGCCTTCCCCACGGTCACGGGATCAAAATTCAGACCACTGGCGACCGACTCCCGTTTGGGACGGCCGCAGCGTCCCGGGGAATCAGGCGATCCCTCTTTGACCAGCAAAGTCAGAGGGGAAGCCAGGCCCTGTGACAAACTGAACAACGGCAGTGATCCACTTAGCGACGGTGGCGAGAAAGGTCGTAAAGTGAGGGCAAAGCTCGCTTGACCACTCTCTCGCTTACGGACGGAGACCTTGGGCTCAGTTGTGGCCGTAAGCCGAGGACTGCCTGCCGCCGTGGGGGAGGAGCAGACCGAGGGATGGCCCGTCTCCACCCAGCACACCGGGCTCTTCGCCTTTTGTCTCCTGCTCTGCTGCAGGTGGGCATCGACAGCTGCTGGATCGGCTCCGTCTTATGCCCGCAGGGAATGTTCTCCTCTTCCATTGTAGATACCATCGCTACCGAAAGCACTCTTTTCATCCGACAAAATCAGCTGGTCTATTACTTTACAGGGCATTATCCAATTTTACACCTAGAAACCAAAGGATCTGGTAGGTCAGCTTAACACCACCACCCCCCGCCCACCGCGATCTTCCAGGAGTTTCTGCCAGCGTGGTCTTACAAGGAAGGTCTATAATCAGTAAAAAAAAAAAAAAAAAAAATCAACAGCTTTCTGCCAGAGAGTCCATTCAACCCACTTGATCCCTCGCGTTCCTGCTTTACTCCACGCATTATTAAGATCCTCCTAGGGCAGTGTTTCCCAAACTTGACAATTTTAAGGCATGTGGACTTCAACTCCTAGAATTCCACAGCCAGCAACGCTGGCTGTGGAATTCTGGGAGCTGAAGTCCACATGCCTTAAAATTGTCAAGTTTGGGAAACACTGTCCTAGGGACTGAGTGATCTGTAATTACATGTGAAAGTGTGATTTCCCCATAATTGGAGTAAAGTCCACTTGAATCCTGGGGGGGGGGGTTCAAGACCCGTGGTGGCACGGTGGTTAGAATTCAGTATTGCAAGCTGACTATGCTCACCGTCAGGAGTTCGATCCGGCTCAAGGTTGACTCAGCCTTCCATCTTTCCGAGGTCGGTCAAATGGGAACCCAGATTGTTGGAGGCAAGATGCCCACTATGTAAACTGCTTAGAGAGGGCTGTAAAGCACTGTATAAATCTAAATCTCTATTGCTATTACTTACCTCTTACTAAAAAGATGTTAAGACCTTGGGGGGAAAAAATCAGAGAAGAGCAACTAAGACGATCAAAGGCCTGGAGACTAAAACATACGAAGAACGGCTGCAGGACTTGGGTTTGGCTAATCTCAAGAAAAGTAGGAACGGTGACATGATAGCAATAGTCCAGTAGTAGTCCAATCTCTTCTTAAAAACATTGGAGCATTTACAATTTCTGGAGGCAGGTTGTTCCACTGATTTATTGTTCTCACTGTCAGGAAACTTCTCCTTAGTTCTAGGTTGCTTCTCTCCTTGATTAATTTCCATCCGTTGCTTCTTGTCCTGCCTTCAGGCGCCTTGGAAAATAGCTTGACTCCCTCTTCTTTGGGGCAGCCCCTGAGATACTGGAAGACTGCTATCATGTCCCCCTTCGTCCTTCTCTTCATTAAACTAGACATAACCAACTCCAGCGACCGTTCCTTATATGTTTTATCCTCCAGACCCCTGACCACCTTTGTTGCACTTCTCTGCATTCTTTCTGGAGTCTCTACACTTTTTTTTAGAACATGGCGACCAAAACTGGATGCAGGATTGCAGGTGTGGCCTTACCAAGGTCTGGTAAAGTGCTATTAACACCTGCTCTGTCTCACTCTGCTGCTCCTTCAGAACTGTGGACACGCATCTTGAACAACGTCTGCGTGAAGAAGCTCGTTCCCGTCTTTTTCCCTTACAATAACAGCGAATACGTGATCGCCCTGGGCGGCGGCGCTCAGGATGGGGAATTCTTCCTTATCACTTGCAAAGGTAGCGTGTTAGACTTTGTGCGGGCTCCGTCTCCAGTGGACAGGGCCCTGCCTGAGAGACACAGACCTTCCCCCTTGTAAGATAACATGGCAGCATTTTGCCAGGCATGAGACCACGAACAGCAGAACAGCACGTAGAGGCCCAAGGAAGGAAGAACTGTTTTGTTCCTCCTGTTTTTGCTTTTGTTTCAGATGGAGTTGTGAAGGCAAGTGCCTCCCTAAGGCAACAGAGAAGGAGCATCTGCTTTTTAATGTTCAGTAAGTTCTTTTCTCAACATTAAGAAAACCAAAATCATGGCATCCGGCCCTCTCAATTCCTGGCAAATAGATGGGGAAGAAATGGAGGTAGTGACAGATTTTATTTTTCTGGGCTCCAAGATCACCTCAGATGGGGACTGCAGCCAAGAAATTAAAAGACGCTTGCTCCTGGGGAGGAAAGGTATGGCAAATCTAGACAGCATACTAAAAAGCAGAGACATCACCCTGCCAACAAAAGTGCGTATAGTCCAGGCCATGGTTTTCCCAGTTGCAATGTATGGCTGTGAAAGTTGGACCATAAGAAAGGCTGAGCGCCAAAGAATTGAGGCCTTTGAACTATGGTGCTGGAGAAGACTCCTGCGAGTCCCTTGGACTGCAAGGCATTCAAACCGGTCAGTCCTAGAAGAGATCAACCCCGTCTGCTCTTTAGAAGGCCAGATCCTGAAGTTGAAACTCAAATACTTTGGCCACCTAATGAGAAGGAAGGACTCACTGGAGAAGGGCCTAATGCTGGGAAAGATTGAGGGCAATAGAAGAACGGGACGACAGAGAATGAGATGGCTGGATGGAGTCACTGAAGCAGTAGGTGTGAACTTAAATGGACTCCAGAAGATGGTAGAGGACAGGAAGACCTGGAGGAACATTGTCCATGGGGTCGTGATGGGTCGGACACGACTTCGCAATTAATAACATAATATAACAATAACAAAGTCCTTTTCTATGTTTAAAAAGTGGCCTTCCCCTCCCTCCGGCTAGTTTCTGTGGGCTTCAGCTGCTGTGGAGATTTTGGGAAGAGGTGGCAAGACTTTGGGATGGGTTCATTTATAGTAATAGCAGTAGTGGTGGTGGTGGTGGTGATGATGATGATGGTGGTGGTGACTCCAGGGTGCTCTAGCTTTTCAGATGGGGGAGAAAAAGGGGTCATCCTACCGTGCACAGCTGGTGTTTAATATCCAAGCTTTTCCAAAGGGTGCATCATTCAGAGCTTTGTCTCCAGAGGGTAAAACTTTATCATCAGAAGCATCACCGTTGAAGTTGCCACACATGCCACAGAGCTGATTCCGATACTCTGGACCCACCCATACGAAGACACTACTTGCCCCGTTGAACTGGTCAGCATATTCCTCACTCTTAAGATCTGAGCAATGGATCCTACATTGGCTGATAGTTGGGTTCTTCTGCCATTAACTTTTCATAAAAGAAATACTAAAGGTTTCTGTAGTGCTAACATAACAACAAGAACAACAACAACAACAACAACAATAATAATAAATAATAATAAAGTTGGAATGGACCTTGGAGGTCTTCTAGTCCAACCCCCTGCTCAGGCAGGAAACCCTACACCATTTCAGACAAAAGGCTGTCCATTCAAAACTTCCAGTGATGGAGCATTCACAACTTCTGGAGGCAGGTTGTTCTACTGGTTAATTGTTCTCACTGTCAGGAAATTTCTCCTTAGTTCCAGGTTGCTTCTCTCCTTGATGAGTTTCCACCTGTTGCTTCTTGTCCTGCCTTCAGGGGCTTTGGAGAAGAGCTTGACTCCCTCTTCTTTGGGGCAGCCCCTGAGATACAGGAACGCTGCTATCCTGTCCCCCCCTCGTCCTTCTCTTCATTAAACTAGACCAGTGGTTCTCAACCTGTGGGTCAGGACCCCATTTGGGGTCGAACGACCATTTCACAGGGGTCGCCAAATAAGGCTGTCTGCCATTTTTCCCCCTTTTCTTTGGCCACGCCCCTGGCACCCGGTGATATATAAGTGGTTGGGGGTCACCACAACATGGGAACTGTATTATGGGGTCGCGGCATTAGAAAGGTTGAGAATCACTGAACTAGACATACCCAATTCCAGCAACCGTTCCTTATATGTTTTAGCCTCCAGTCCCCTGATCATCTTTGTGGCTCTTCTCTGCGCTCTTTCTAGACATCTCAACCTCTTTTTCACATGGTGTTTTTTTACATCCAAAACTGGATGACGTATTCCAGGTGTGGCCTTACACACTTCCACGCATTTCTCCCAATGTTGACCTCTCTGTTCTTTTCTGCAGGAGCTGCCTGCTCCATCTTATGGGCCTCTCTGACACATGAGAACAAGTTCCATTTGCTGGTGATGCGGAAGTCAACCAATGCATCCTTCGTCGTTTCATACGACAGAGGTAATAATGCTCGACTCCTTTTACGCCTACTCCTCGATGTAGGGTCATAATGGAGGCCACCCTCCCTGTCGCCAAGCGAGACATTCGTTAAGTGAGCTTTGCCCCCATTTTACGACCTTTCTGGTTAAGAGAATCCCTGCGGTTCCTAAATTAGTAACCCGGTTGTGACTTGGCTTGTCGCAAGGTTACAAAAGGGGCTTACCTGACCCCGGGACGCTGCAAACCATCCTCAATGTGAGTCAGTTGCAAAGCGTCTGAATTCGGATCATGTGACCGTGGGGAGGCCGGGACGGTTGCAAGTTTATTTATTTATTTATTTATGAGACTTATATACCGCTTTAAGTGCAAGCACTCTCTAAGCGGTGTACACCAGTAAGCAATGTATATATATATTTACATTGCCCCCAACAATCTGGGTCCTCATTTTATCTACCTCGGAAGGATAGAAGGCTGAGTCAACCTTGAGCCGGTGAGATTTGAACTGCTGACCTGCTGAACACAGTCAGCTAAAGTGTGAAAAATGATCACAAATCACTTTTGTCAGTGCTGTTGCAACTTTGGATGGTCACTAAACAGACTGTTGTAAATCAAGGACTACCTGTACAATGCAGGATTAGTTGCAACCCTTTCAAGACATGTGGGAAAAGAGGTTGTTCGATATTAGCACGGTCAATACTATCTTTGCCAGCTCCCCAGGCTAGGGAGAAAAACTACATGGCTGGCTGTTGAACTGGGACTCTAAACTATTTATGTATATCCAGAGCAGAACAGAACAGAATATAGAAATAGAATAGAATAGAATAGGGGAATAGAATAGAATAGAATAGAATAGAATAGAATAGAATAGAATAGAACAGAACAGAATAGAATTATAGAATAGAATAGAATAGAATAGAATAGAGTAGAATAGAGAGAGTAGAGTAGAGTAGAGTAGAGTAGAGTAGAGTAGAATAGAATAAAGATGGAATAGAACAGAACAGAACAGAATAGAATAAAGATGGAATAGAATAAAGACAGAATAGAATAGAATAGAATTAGAATAGAATAGAATAGAATAGAATAGAATAGAATAGAATAGAATAGAATAGAATAAAGATGGAATAGAATAGAATAGAATAAAGACGGAATAGAATAGAATAGAATTAGAATAACAGAGTTGGAAGGGACCTTGTAGGTCATCTAGTCCAACCCCCCTGCCCAAGCAGGAGACCCTACCCCATTTCTGACAGATGGCAGTCCAAACTCTTCTTGGAAGCTTCCCAGTGGTGAAGCTCCCACAACTTCTGAAGGCAACGTCTGTCCCATTGGTTGATTGTCCTCACTGTCAGGAAACGTGTTTGTGTTCACACTCTGACCTTGCTTCTCTTTCTTCCGTTTCTAGAGTACAAAAAATTTCAAGCACTGTATCACATCCCTTCCCATGTACCTAAGGGTAAGAACCATACTGCTCGCGGTTTACGAAACTCACCTGGTCCTTGGGAGGGATGCGGTGGGTGGATACGAATGCCCAACCCAGTCCAAACGTCTGGCCGACTCTGTGACAAAACATCGTAACACCCGTCGATTCAACGTTTATGCCGCCCAACTCTCAGTCACTTTGGGCCGCTCACAACAATCCAATTCCAACAGAACCAAGGAAAAGATGCAAAAATAACAGAGCAGGTGAAAAAGGAGGGAGGGGCGTCTCCCTCCCTCTTCCCCGGGAGAAGAGCCAGGTCTTCACTGCTTTTCTAAACAATAGCAAAATGGAGGCCATCTGGGTCTTTTTTTGGGGGGGGGGAGAGGAAATTTTGTTCCAGAGTGAAGGTGCTGCAACAGAGAGGGTGCATTTCTGGCCCCTGCTTAATGCAGGTTTTTCCAATTTTGACAACATTAGGATGTGTTGATTCCACTCCCAGAATTCCTCAGCCGGCCATGCTGTCAGCTTGTTTGTCTGAATGTGTAACAGTAAACAACAGCTTTATCAAGGGACCACGCTGACAGGACAAGCCGCTAGCATGTAAAAAAGAGAGCAAGCCCTACTCCCACTGGTGATGTTACCTAGTTGGGTGGTGAAAAGTCTGCGAGGAAAAAGGCACAATGTTAATTGGGAGTAAAATTTTTGGTTATGGTATGGATTTAGATAACTGGCAAGAATTATGGGAAAGGAATAGGAAGCTCACATTAGCTACTGTGTACAAAGACAACGTATAGGTGGCACCTTCCCCCTGTGAGATTAGCTAAACTTGGACAAAAAGACCTCACCGAAATGTTGGAAATGCAAAGAATCGCTAGAGACCTACTACCATATGTGGTGGGAATGCTCAAAAGTACAAACATTTTGGCATTTGATAAAACGGTGGCTAGAAGAGATACTAATGCAGAGTATCGAGTTAAAGCCAGAACTCTTTCTGTTGGGTATTACTAAGGATGGATATAATAAAGGATCCCTACACCTATTACTACACATGCGAACAGCAGCAAGATTAGTCTTTGCACAGAGATGGAAAGATAATGAGACACCCTCAGAAGAAGAGGTGATAAACAAGATTTGATCCTGTGCTGAAATGCATAGGCTGATGTTAGAACTCCAGGATAAGAGTGAAACAGAATATTATGAAATCTGGAACAAATTGTATAATTGGTTGGGGGAAAATAGATGGAAAAACTCTCTGATTCAGCAAAATACATTGATCAAGGAAGATACTGATCAAAGGAAAAATATTAAAATATTAAAATGAAAATTAAGTATTTAGATCAGTGGTTCTCAACCTGTGGGTCGGGACCCCATTTGGGGTCGAACGACCATTTCATGGGAGTCGCCAAGAAACGCAGTCCGCCATTTTTTTCCCCCTTTTCCTTAGCTGTGCTGCTCCCTTTTATTCTATTGGCTTTTGAAAGCCAATCGAATAGACTCTCTTGAATAGAGTCTAATTCTATTGCCTTTCAAAAGCCAATAGGAATGGTCCAGGCTGTCTCTGCCCTGCTGAGCCCGCCCAAAGTCCCATTCTGCAAACGGTGCTGCACCAGTTGAGTAGTCCTCGACTTACGACCGGTTGAGTAGTCCTCGACTTACGACCGGTTGGTGGTCGCGGCATTAAAAAGGTTGAGAACCACTGATTTAGATGATGGGATCTGTCAGAGCGAATATTTTAAAGAAAAGAAACGTCTGTTTGAATTTGTGGATTATGAATGATAGAAATCAATTGTCAACGGTTTTTCTTTTTTACAAATGTAAAGCAAGCAAACTCACGGTTAACCAACTGTCAGGTGATTTATGTTTTAAAAACCAATAAAACTTATTTTTAAAAAAAGTCTGCAAGGAAACAAGAGGCTCAGAGAGCACCAAGGATCCCCCAGTCCTCCTCCTCCTCCTCCTTCTCATCCTCCTCTGTGCAAACTCCACTCCCTTCTAGCACTGATGATGTTACCTAGCTGGGTCATGAAGTGTCTGCAAAAAACCAACCAAGCTCAGAGAGCACCAAGGACACACACACACCCCAGTTCAACCCGGAGCTGCAAATATTCTCTTTAATCAGTAAGGTGGACTTGAGGTTCAGAAAGAGCAGCCTTCAAATGAGGGATGCTCCTGAGATAAACAGGGGGACACCAAACAAAGAGAGGAAGAAGGGATGGCTCTTACTTTCTTTTGTAGTCTTCCTGCAAACCCTGCGGAAAACCTTTTGGCAGCTCTCTCTTCTCCTCAACAGCCTCTGATAAAGGGTTCGTGATGCTCCTGGGCACCGAGGTGTACACCAAAAAACGCCTGATCGCACGAGGCTTGGCTTACAACCCCTTCAGCAAGGCTTTTTATATTTGGGGGAACGTGATCTTGCAAAGGTAAGCTTGTCGTTCCTAGGGTGAACTGTCACAGAGTCAGAAGGGGTCATTTAGCCAGTGGAACCAAACAGGAATATAAGAAGGACGAGATTTATCTGAAATGGGATAGGGTTTCCTGCCTGAGCAGGGGGTTGGACTAGAAGACCTCCAAGGTCCCTTCCAACTCCTATTCTATTCTATTCTATTCTATTCTATTCTATTCTATTCTATTCTATTCTATTCTATTCCACTCCACTCCACTCCACTCCACTCCATTCTATTCCCTATTCTATTCTATTCTATTCTATTCTATTCTATTCTATTCTATTCTATTCTATTCTATTTTCTCTATTCTCTATTCTATTCTATTCTATTCTATTCTATTCTATTCTATTCTATTCTATTCTATTCTAATAATAATAGTAGTAAAGTTGGAAGGGACTTGGAGGTCATCTAGTCCAACTCCCTGCTCAGGCAGGAAACCCTACACCATTTCGGACAAATGGCTGTCCAGTCTCTTCTTAAAAACTTCCAGTGTTGGAGCATTTACTGCTTCTGGAGGCAGGCTGTTCCACTGATTAATTGTTCTCACTGTCAGGAAGTTTCTCCTTAGTTCTAGGTTGCTTCTCTCCTTGGGTCAGTTTCCATCCGCTGCTTCTTGTCCTGCCTTCAGGTGCTTTGGAAAATAGCTTGATTCCCTCTTCTTTATGGCAGCCCCTGAGATATTGGAATACTGCTATCATGTCCCCCCTTGTCCTTCTCTTCGTTAAACTAGACATACCCAATTCTAGCAACCATTCCTTATATGTTTAGCCTCCAGTCCCCTAATCATCTTTGTTGCTCTTCTCTGTACTCTTTCTAGAGTCTCAACATTCTATTCTATTCTATTCTATTCTATTCTATTCTATTCTATTCTATTCTATTCTATTCTATTCTATTCTCAGACTCATTTCAATACGGTTCTTTCAGCAGTCACCCAGGCGGCTTTCATGCCTAAGGCGGGACTAGAACTCACTGACTCCTGGTGATTGGCCTAAAGTCCCCCAGCCAGCTTTTACCTTCTGAGGCCAGACAAGAACTGGAACTAGAACTCCCAGTCACCTGATTTCTAGGCCAGCATTTTAACCATTATCCCAAAGTGGCTCTCCAAACTGAAGTTGGCCCACTGGTCAACCTAATGACGGCATTCCCCCCCCCTTTTTTTTTTTTGCTTTCCTTTCCAGCCAAGATATGACGAATTACATCTACCTTTCCAATTTCCCAAGTGACTCTCCCATCAAGGATTTTGTTCTCTCTTTTAAAGGGCCTTTTGCTGTTGTGACAGACAGGGAGGAGGTAAGTCTATTATCAGAATCAGAATAGTCACTAAACGAACGGTTGTAAGCCAAGAACTAAAGAATATGACTTATGTCTTTGAATCTATGTTTGTTAAACCGGTGTCCGTTTCGCTGGGCTCTCTCTTTTTTTTCTTTTTGGCAGCTGATTTATATCAAGGATATTCGTGGCCAATAAAGAATGATGAAGAGGGGTTTCCTTCAGGATAATGCCCTTAGTCTCCAAATCTGGGGTTGTTAAATCTCTTATCTTCTAGCTCAGATATGTGTCTGCCAAATAGTTTTGCATGAATTATCTCCCCCCCCCCCTTTTTTTTTTTTCCTCTCTCTCTCTCTCCCTCTCCTCATAGCTCTGGGTGTCGAATGAAAACGGCATAGCATTTAGAAAGGTTTATCCTTCGGATGCCTGGAATAAGTTTGTTGCTCTCCAAACGATGAGAGGGTCTACGAGATACCCCCAGTCAGCCAAACAGGCCATCGTCAGCATATTCTACAACAAGGAAGGCTTGCACGAGGTGGGTGAGACAGGCCAATGTGGGGCCTCCGGGAAGTTCCTCAGAAGCAAAGGGGTCTGGCAAGGTCCTTATGGATTTGTCCGTGGAGATTCTCCGTCGTCCAGGTCATCATTATCCCAAAGGTGCTTTTTTTTTTTTTTCCATGAGGCCACTGGACTTCCTTGTTTTTCTCTGAAGAGGTTTCGCTTCTCCTCCAAGGAGCTTCTTCAGCTCTGGCTGGAGGGTGGGGAACGGAAGGAGTTAGATTTCTCTATGCAAGTCAAGGACTGCCCGTAAAGGCAAAAGCGAGGTGGAGATTGTGCCTTTTGTCTTTTGCCTCTGCTGTTGTTAAATCAGCGTCCTTTTTCTTTTTCTTTTTTTTTTTTTTGCAGCTGGTTTATACGGTAGCTGGTCCTGGCAAAGAAAGGCTCCTGAAGAGGGATTTCCCTCAGGATACCGTCCTGACGTACGATCTGCTGATCAGCACACCTCACAAAAAGATGACGTTCAAGTGAGTGGGAGACCAGCGACTCGGCCTTTTTTTCCCAGCGTCCGGCGGAGCCAACCGACGGGAGAAGAAAGGCTGCTGGGGAACAGCCCTGGCCCTGCTCTCCTTCCTTTGACCACTTCTGGGCTTCCTCCCTCCGTTGGCCCTTCTCAGCAAGTACAGCTGGATGTTAGATTTCGTCTAGAGTGGACCCCGTTTCCCCCCACCCCCACCCTGAGAAACCAGGACGATCCGCAGAGAAAAAGCACGTGAGGAAGCTGAAGGGAAGTCGGTGAATGTGGTTGAGTGTCGTAACAGGTCTTGTTCTTCACCCCTTTGCCTACCGCAGTGGTTCTCCATTTGGGGGTCGGGCTCTTAGTGACTGGCCTAAAGCCACCCAGCTGGCTTTCATGGCTAAGGCAGGACTAGAACTCACTGTCTCCTAGTGATTCGCCTAAAGCCACCCAGCTGGCTTTCACGCTTAAGGCAGGACTAGAACTCATTGTCTTCTAGTGATTGGCTTAAAGCCACCCAGTTGGTTTTCATGACAAAGGCAGGACCAGAACTCACTGTCTCCTGGTGCTTGGCCTAAAGTCACCCAGCCTTTCACGACAAAGGCAGGACTAGAGCCACAGGTGCAGAATTCCCACTAACTACTCTATTACATTCTGCGTATAATATGGGAGTCTCCCCAGTTGGACAGCTTTCTCTTGGGAACCGATAGATAAAGTTCCCAGGAACTCTCTGAGGTTGGGGTCGGTTCTAGTCCTTTTGTGGTTCCCCAGTGATGCTAGACTAGCTCTGCCCTTGATCCCTCCTCCACCCTGCCAGTCACGGTGCCTCCCCTACTGTAGCATTCCTCTTCGGAAGGCCTGCCAAACGGGGGCCACGGCTTCTCTCTCCCCAGCGGGAAAGACTACATCCGGTTCACCCACCGTTGCCCCTTTGCTGCCTTGCGCGTGCTGGATCTGCCACACCCACAGCGCTTTACTCGAGTGGAGCATTACTGGGCCACGCCTCCAGACGTCATGGAGAAATCCGGATTCCACGATGAGAGGTCGCTCACCGTCTACCAGGGCCTGGTCTACCAATTGCTTCAGCTGCACACCTCCTATCACAGAGTGAGGACCGAATCCGTTTTTTCCGGGCACGGGAAGGGTCGTCCGTGGCTGGGGAGACGCGTGGCCTGGCCTCCGGGCTCACTGCAGCAGCCTTTGGGGAGAAATTCGTGGGACGTCTCTGCAAAAAGGGAGGCGTCCCGTTCTGACAACCCGCTGGGTGGAAAGAAACACAGAGAGAAGGGGTGTGTGGGTGTGGGTGAAACACAGGTAGTCCTTGACTTAACGACCGCAGTTCAGCCCAACATTTCTGTTTTTCAGTGAGACATTCGTTAAATGAGCTTTGCCCCACATTACGACTTTTTTTTTTTTTGCCACAGTTGTGAAGTGACTCACTGCAGTGGATAAGTTAGTGACACAGTTGTAAAGGGAACCGGGCTTCCCCCCCCCCTTGACTTGGCTCGCCGGAAGGTCGCAAAAGGGGATCGTGTGACCCGGTCATAAATACGAGTCAGTTGCCAAAGGTCCGAATTTTGATGACGTCACTATGGGGGAATGCTCCAACGGTCGTGCGAAGAATGGTTATAAGTCGCTTTTTTTCAAGGCCGGTGTAACTTCAGACGGTCACGAAACGAACTGTTGTAAACCGAGGACCACCTGTGTTAGATTGCAGTGTGAAAAGAAACAAAAAAGAAAAAAAATTAAAAAATGATCAGGGCAAAAATAGAAGCCCTTAAAAACTAATATACTGTTGATATAGGCCCCCTACATAACAGTAATAGACTTGAGCTGGAATAGGTGATATATTACATCTTCACTTAATCATTTCATCTTGTCTCCTCAGTCTTATGCAGACCCCGTCCACGACCCCACCTGGCGCTGGTGGAAGAACCAGAAAGAAGAGGCCGTAAGGAAAAAACAAAACCCTGCACATCCTTTCTCAGCCTTTGCACTACTTAAAACCTCTTTCCAAGCCCCGCAAAATTGGAATGATGGGAAAACAGTAAAACGTGCAACAACAGTGTAGTTGTGGGTTGGGTTGTCGTGGGAGGCTGCTAAATTCTCCTGTTCTCTTGTGCTTCGTGACCACAAAAGAACGTAAAGGTGAACCATACAATCGATCCTTCTGGAACTTACTTGGCTTCTCCCTCCCTCTCCCTCTTTCCCCCCCCCCAGGAATATTTCAACTATAAGGCAAGCAACTGGAAATCATTGGGGGGCATCTATGTTGACATGGCCAACTATGCCAAAATTTACAACTTGATGCCGGATAACGATGTACCCGATACCATCTACCTGGACAAGAATACAGCCTACTCTTTTAACGTCTTCCTGACCATCAGGACAGCCCGAGAGAGCCGTAAGGACCTTGGTGGCTCCTTGGGGGGAGCATCCCTCACTCTCTCCTTCCCTCCCTCATTCAATTTATAGGAATTCCCAGCTCAGATTCATGGCTCTGGACGGCTAACAAAACTTAAAAACAAGATTAAAAGCCACAGGAGAAGAAAAATAAAAACCAAGAAGGCAATCCGTGTTTTAACCTAGCTGTGATGTTGAATTCTGTTAGCTGTTTATCTGGATCTACTAGCTGCTTAGCTGGATCTACTAGCTGCTTAGCTGGATCTACTAGCTGCTTATTTAGATCTAACTGCTTAGCTGCGTAGTTGAACCTACTAGCTGCTTAGCTGGATCTACTAGCTGCTTAGCTGGATCTACTAGCTGCTTATTTAGATCTAACTGCTTAGCTGCGTAGTTGAACCTACTAGCTGCTTAGCTGGATCTACTAGCTGCTTATTTAGATCTGCTTAGCTGCTTAGTTGAACCTACTAGCTGCTTAGCTGGATCTACTAGCTGCTTATTTAGATCTAACTGCTTAGCTGCTTAGTTGAACCTACTAGCTGCCTAGCTGGATCTACTAGCTGCTTAGCTGGATCTACTAGCTGCTTATTTAGATCTAACTGCTTAGCTGCTTAGTTGAACCTACTAGCTGCTTAGTTGGATCTACTAGCTGCTTAGTTAGATCAGTAAGAAGACTTAAAGTCTTCATTTATGGATGGTGCAGAGCTTGGTTAGTTTCACCTTGGTTATTTGGGGTGGGGGAATGTGGGTTTGTCTGTGTCTGTGAAGGGTCTGTGTCTCTCTGTCTTTGCTTAATCTAGAAGGCCTAACCTGTTTTATCTGTGTACGATTCAAGATATTAACGCTTGTTCCTCAGTTACTGCATTTAAATGTACAGGTTCTTACAACCACGACTGAGTCCAAAATTCCCATTGTTAAGTAAGTCAGTTATTAGGTTAGTTTCCCCCCCTGCCCGTTTTATAGCCATTTTTGCCATAAAATGAGGGCAAAAACTCTCTTTAACAAACGTCTCACTTAAGCACAGAAATGTTGGGCTGAATTGTGTCCTACGTCGAGGACTATACCTGTCTCTTTCTCCTCCCTACCCAATGTAGCGGTAGAATGGCCTTGGGAACAGAAGGGGCCATTTCTCTCTCTGCCTTTGCTTTTGGCGTGGTCCCAGACGGTTCGTTGGAGAGTGAGAAGGTCCCAGACAGCGTGTGTAGGTGTTTGTGGGTGCCGCACGCACGCACATCCTCGACCGTTGTGCTTTTTTTGCCTACAGTGGGAGAGACGGCCGAAGAAAATTCCCTCCACTATATCTGGCTGGCTATCATTTTGGCCCATCCCGAGTACGTCCAGACAGAACTGCAGAGGCAGGAACTCATCAGCAGAGGATCGGTGTTATATCGCGTAAGCCCAGATAATTGTTCATTTGCCCTAGCCTGCAGGTCTGTAGATTATTCGTTTATTGATATGTCTCCCTTCCTTGCGCAGTTGGGGATTTGGGTTTCGCAACATGCTTATCAAACACCTTGGTAAGGCCACACTTGGAATACTGCATCCAGTTTTGGTCACCACGATGTAAAAAAAATGTTGAGACTCTAGAAAGAGTACAGAGAAGAGCAACAAAGATGATTAGGGGGCTGGAGGATAAACATATAAGGAACGGTTGCTAGAATTGGGTAGTCTAGTTTAACAAAGAGAAGGACCAGGGGGGACATGATAGCAGTATTCCAATATCTCAGGGCTGCCCCAAAGAAGAGGGAGTCAAGCTATTTTCCAAAGCACCTGAAGGCAGGACAAGAAGCAATGGATGGAAACTAATCAAGGAGAGAAGCAACCTAGAACTAAGGAGAAACTTCCTGACAGTGAGAACAATTAATCAGTGGAACAGCCTGCCTCCAGAAGCAGTAAATGCTCCAACACTAGAAGTTTTTAAGAAGAGACTGGACAGCCATTTGTCCGAAATGGTGTAGGGTTTCCTGCCTGAGCAGGGGGTTGGACTAGAAGACCTCCAAGGTCCCTTCCAACTTTATTATTATTATTATTATTACCTACAAAATTGAACTTGGAACGAACATCCCCACCACTTCCTATCATCTAGAGATGACCGAGCCAATGGCGTGGTTGCTTCCCAGGGCAGGGCATCTCCAAACATGGCAATTTTTAAGACCTGTGGACTTAAAGTTGCCTGGCTGAGGAATTATGGGAGTTGAAGTCCACAAGGAGAAACTTCCTGACCGTGAGAACAATTAACCAGTGGAACCGCCTGCCTCCAGAAGCGGTGAATGCTCCAACACTGGAAGTTTTTAAGAAGAGACTGGACAGCCATTTGTCTGAAATGGTAAGCCTGAGCAGGGGATAATAATAAAGTTGGACAGGACCTTGGAGGTCATCTATCCAACCCCCTGCTCAGGCAGGAAACCCTACCCCATTTCAGACAAAAGGCTGTCCAGTCTCTTCCAGTGTGGGTATGGAGTCCCTTCCAACTCTGTTATTCTTTTAGTGTGGGGCAATTGTTTCTCAACCTCAGCCACTTTAAGATGGGTGGACCTCAGCTCCCATGTCTGCTGGGGAATTCTAGGAGCTGGAACCCATATATGAGGTTGAGAAACAATGGTATAGAACGTTGGCGCCTGGTTCGAGAACGACAGAAAGAATCAGCATCTTTATTTAGGCAATTTAAGCTACACCTGACTTCTCCCCCCCCCCAAAAAAAAAAACAGGTAACCATTAAAGACAATGGGAAGTACCCAATACAGCAGCTCAGTGGGAAGAACCTTTTGAAAAGCTCAGCTGGCTTAAAGGTGAGTTGACAGTAGTTCCAAAAATCTACGTATCGCTATTCGATATATGTTAGCTTTGTTTTTTGGTTTACTAATGTATTGATTTGATTTGCATCCCCCCTTTATCACTTTAGATTAAGTAACTCAAGATGGCAAACATACCTAGTACTCCTTCTTCCTCTTATTTTCCCCATAACAACAGCCCTGTGAGGTGGGTTGGGATGAGGAAAAGTGACTGCCCCAACCCCAGTCACCCAGCTGGCTTTCATGCCTAAGGCGGCACTAGAACTCCCCGTCTCCTGGTGATTGGTCCAAAGTCACCCAGCTGCCTTTCATGCCTAAGGCGGGACTAGAACTCCCAGTCTCCTGGTGATTGGCTCAAAGTCACCCAGCTGCCTTTCATGCCTAAGGCGAGACTAGAACTCCCAGTCTCCTGGTGATTGGCCCAAAGTCACCCAGCTGCCTTTCATGCCTAAGGCGGGACTAGAACTCCCAGTCCCCTGGTGATTGGTCCAAAGCCACAGAGCTGGCTTTCATGCCTAAGGCGGGACTAGAACTCCCAGTCTCCTGGTGATTGGTCCAAAGTCACCCAGCTGCCTTTCATGCCTAAGGCGGGACTAGAACTCCCAGTCTCCTGGTGATTGGTCCAAAGCCACGGAGCTGGCTTTTATGCCTAAGGCAGGACTAGAACTCGCAGCTGCCAGCTTCTACCCTAGTGCCATAACCATTCAATCTGCAGCCATTTTACTTCTCACCTCTACCGAAGAGTGGCCTGTTCTGACTTACTTGTGGCTGGTGAAACTGTTTCTTTCTGCTTTTTTCCACTTTTCTTAGATTGTCCGTTCGGAAATGTCCTGTTATCACCATACAACCCTGGCCCCACAGTTGAAGGTAATATGAATTCCCGGAGAAGGAATTTCATTTCTTTCCCATTGCCTTTTCCTTCCAACAGGCAAACAGCAAGGAGACGACGCAGAAGGACTGATTTATTCTAAACAATTGAACCTGAAAGCGGTGGAAAATAACCTGCGTGCTGTAAAATACAGAATAAAATGAGTAACAAAATGGATATCCGATCTTCAAGACTGCCCAGTTAGAATTTCTTCCCGTAGAGCAGGGTTATCCAAGCTTGGCCACTTTAAGACTTGTGGACTTCAACTCCCAGAATCTCCTAGCTGGTCAATTCTGGGAGCTGAAATCTGCACGTTTGGACACCCCTGCCATAGAGGAACTTGGTAGTAACAGTATAGTAGAGTTGGAAGGGACCTTGGAGGTTTTCCAGTCCAACCCTCTTCTCAATTCTGGACACTGACCTAAAACCCCATCCTGAAACTGTATAAATATTTCTCTCCCTCTGTTTTTTGGAAGTATTTATCCCCTCCCTTCCGATCATGCACTACCGTTCATATCTGAGTTGTTTTTACCATTACTTTGGAACATCTGTAAAATGGATTCTGTACATGAATGTTTATAAATTCATAGCTCACCTATTTCTTTGTTGGCCCGCAGGGTACTGATACCATGGGGATTTATATTGGGTGCCCCCCAGGCAAGAGATTGGCGTTTGACATCACGTATACAAAGAATTACACCACGGAGAAGAACAAGCGCTACTTTGACTGTGTTGAGCCAGATCCAGAAATGCCCTGTTTTTTCTTCAGCGATGGTAAGTGGCTTTGGATGACCTCCTCCTCCTCCTCCCCCCCCCTCCTCCTCCTCCTCCTCCACACTGCAACCCTACTCCCTTCTGGCACTGATGATGTTACCTAGCTGGGTCATGAAACGTCTGCAAAAAAGCAACCAAGCTCAGAGAGCACCAAGGACCTCACGGTCCTCTTCCCCCTCTTCCTCCTCCTCCTCCTCTTCCTCCTCCTCCTCCTCCTCCTCCTCCTCCTCCTCCTCTCCACAGCCACCCACTCCCTTTAGCAGTGATGATGTTACCTAGTTGGGTCATGAAACGTCTGCAAAAAAGCAATCAAGCTCAGGGAGCACCAAGGAGCCCCCAATCCTCCTCCTCCTCCTCCATGAGATGCAAAAATGTGTGAATCCAGTTCCTCCAGAGCCAGCTTCAAGGCTTGGTGTTGGATTTGAGCCAATCACCTGCTGGAAACCTTTCCAGAGTCAGGCTGGGAATGCTGCTAGTACCCCTGCTGTGTTCCAGTCTACTCTAGTTTGGCAGCTTGAAGCAAGACACTTCCTTGTTTTCCTTGCAGTGTTCTTCCCATCCTTCTTGATCCAAGACATGGTGACAGGCGACTCGGGACAATTCCATGGCAGGTAAGCGTGGTGGGGGAAGGGTCTCAGGCCTGGTAGAGCTGAGAATTGGGAGCGGGGTGGAGAATGGGGCCCTCCGGGCATTGCCCTTGGGGTTTGGGCAATAAGACAGGGGCATGTGTCCTCAAGAGCTAATCTGCTTCACAAGGGGGTGTCCAGGGCAAAGGGGAAGAAGACTGGATCAAGGCTGGCTCTCTTCTCTTTCTCTTTATAATAATAATAAAGTTGGAAGGGATCTTGGAGGTCATAGTGCAACCCACTGCTCAGGCAGGAAACCCTATCCCATTTCAGACAAATGGCTGTCCAGTCTCTTCTTAAAAATTTCCAGTGTTGGAGCATTCACACCTTCTGGGGGCAGGTTGTTTCACTGATGGATTGTTCTAACTGTCAGATAGTTTCTCCTTAGTTCTAGGTCTCTCTCTCTCTCTCTCTCTCTCTCTCTCTCTCTCTCTCTCTCTCTCTCTCTACCAAAAGGGGGATTGTGTAAGACAGTGGTTCTCAACCTATTTAATGCCACGACCCCCAACCGTAAGTCGATGACTACTCAACTGATGCAGCACCGTTTGCAGAATGGGACTTTTGGCGGGCTCAGCAGGGCAGAGACAGCCTGGACAATTCCTATTGGCTTTTGAAAGCCAATAGAATTAGACTCTATTCAAGAGAGTCTATTCGATTGGCTTTCAAAAGCCAATAGAATAAAAGGGAGGAGCACAGCTAAGGAAAAGGGGGGGGGGGGAATGGCGGACTGCGTTGTTTGGCAACCCCCCGTGAAATGGTCGTTGAACCCCAAATGGGGTCCCGACCCACAGGTGGAGAACCACTGGTGTAAGAGGACTGCATAACATCCCCTTCCTCTTCCTCGTTCTCTTGACAGCTACCTCTTTAGCATCATTGGCGGAGGGGCCTTTTCGCAGAGCAACATCAGATACTTCACTCAGGAAGAGATCGTGAAATACAACACCAACAGGTGACTTTCCACCAGGCTGCTGCGTAGCCCCGGTCTGAAGCAAACGGGGAACCAGTGCCGCTCGTGCAAAACGGTGTTATACGTGTAGCCGTCGCCCCCCCTACCCCCCCCAACTGTGCACACCGCTGTGTTCTGCTCCGGCAGTAGCTTCCCGAATAGTCTTCTAGGGTAGCCCCACGTAGAGCGTGGGGCAGTAGGGAGTGGGGGATCTGCTGCAAAAGGGGGAAGGGGCTCTCGACTCCCCTGTAGACCTTTGCGAAGACCAGCTGTCTCGATCTGAATCTCCCTAGTAACGAGTCCGCTTTGATATGGGCGAGAGCCGACATAGAAATTAATCAAACCAACGACGAAGGCTTTCCAGTCCTTTCTGGAACCAACTCCGGAATTGTGTAAGTTCTACTGCGAAAGACGTGCTATCTGTTTGGGGTGTGCAGATCTGTTTCTGACCGGACTCTCCGTATTCTCCCCTCCAGTGAAAGAGGCTTGGATAGAGATTGGGCTAGAGCAGGGGTAGGCAACCTTGGCTCTTTTATGACTCATGGACTTCAACTCCCAGAATTCCTGAGCCAGCATGGGGGAACTATGGCCCCCTCAAGACTCGTGGACTTCAACTCCCAGAATTCCTGAGCCAGCGTGGGGGAACTATGGCCCCTTCATGACTAGTGGACTTCAACTCCCAGAATTCCTCAGCCAGCATGGGAGAACTATGGCCCCTTCATGACTTGCAGACTTCAATTCCCAGAATTCCTGAGCCAGCATGGGGAAACTATGGCCCCTTCATGACTCTAGGACTTCAACTCCCAGAATTCCTGAGCCAGCATGGGGGAACTATGGCCCCTTCATAACTCGTGGACTTCAATTTCCAGAATTCCTGAGCCAGCATGGGGGAACTATGGCCCCCTCATGATTCGCGGACTTCAACTCCCAGAATTCCTGAGCCAGCATGGGGGAATTATGGCCCCTTCATGACTTGTGGACTTCAATTCCCAGAATTCCTGAGTTCTGGGAGTTAAAAGTCCACGAGTCATAAAAGAGCCAAGGTTTCCTCTCCCTGGGCTAGACCAACGATCAAGAAGGAAACAACACCCCAATCAAGAATCTACCAACTCAGACCAACCATCAAACTCTAAACAACAGCTTAATTAGGGAACCACCAAGACCTCTCCCACCAACACTGACAGCACAAGTCTATAAACAGAGAGCAGACCCCACTCTCTTGTAGCCCTGATGATGTTCCTTAGTCGGGTAATGGAACGTCTGCAGGAAAGCAACCCAGATCAGAGAGTACCACAGGCTCCAACAGCTAAAGTTTGCTAATTAGGTAGCTCCCTAATTAAATAGTTCCCTAATCAAGGAATTGTCAAAGAGAAAAGCCCTGCCCCCACCAGTATTGGCAAGGAAAGCCACTTGTATATAAAGAGAGATCGAAACCCCCACTCCCTTCTAGCACTGATGATGTTACCTAGTTGGGTAATGAAACGTCTGCAAGAATACCCCCGAGCTCTGAGAGCATCAAGGACCCCACAGATTGGGTTCTCTTTAACCTAAGATTTTACATTTGGGTTTGTGGGATAAATGAAAAGGGCTTAGCTCACACAGGGTGCCATACTTTGTAGTTCAGAGCCACGTGCAAATCCTGCCTTGTCTCCATTCAGGACTCCTTCAACACAGACTTCCTTGTTAACTTCCCCTACTGGATTGCACACCCATCCCAAACCAATCTTTTAAAAAACGGGATTCCACCCGGAGAGAGATGAAGCAGCCCGTCGTATGATCTTGCTTGGCGCAAATCCTCTCTTTTTTTTCCTTTTAGGTGGATTTGTCAAAAAGATTCTCCATGTTACGATATCGTCCCCCAAAGTATGGCTGCTCCCGATTATTACTTTGTGATAAAAGTATCCAACAGGTACTTGCGATTGCGAAATGGGTTACTCAGCGGGGTAAAATCAGGCCAGATTGCCCGGGAGAGCTTTTTCTAAGGGTGGATTGTGTGGGTGCGCGTGTGCATCTGGTGTGTAGCGTTTCGTTATTGAATTATTAGCCTGCTGCAAGAGTTGAGGGCCACGATCTGGAATCTATTGGATTAATTATGCAGAACAATGTTTCTCATCCTCAGTAATTTTAAGACGTGGCAGAACCTGAGGGCGGAATTAAAAGAGGAATCAGCCTAGAATCTCTACGCAGCCACGAATGAACTAAGTCCAACTCTCCCTTGAATTCCATTGACCCTGATCTAACTCCAAGCAGGTGCTCAATGTTAGCTGGGAAGATTCCTCTGCATAGGCCTGATTAGCAGTAAATTGGTTCTGTTGGATCTTGATGTGTGGATTCAGTCTTTTGCGCCAGAATTCTGGGAGTTGAAGCCGAACTTCTTAAAGTCGCCAAGGCTGAGAAAACTAGGAAGAGCCTGCACTGAGATGTAATCTCTGTGTCGAGAGGGAATTTTTTTTAAAAAAAGGATGGATGCGTTGCTCCGGTGTTCCACCTGTCTCCCGTCTTGTCTGCTTCCACAGGGGGGTGGATCAAACCACTTACTGCGACTATGCCTTGGAGTTCATCATTCACATCCACGGCCTGCGTCTCAGCCCTGACCGTGCCCTGTATGTAATGAAGGTAAGATAGCTGGGCTTTGACTAGCCTCAGGGGTAGGCAACCTTGCCTCTTTTATGACATGGCTCAGCATGGAAATCTCCCCCTTTCCCCTCAGCGTGGCTGGCTCAGGAATTCTGGGAGTTGAAGTCCACAAGTTATAAAGCGGCCTGGGCCCAGGCCAGAGGTAGGCCACCTTGGCTCTTTTATGACTCGTGGACTTCAACTCCCAGAATTCCTGAGCCAGCCACGCTGAGGGGAAAGGCAGAGGTTTCCAAGCTGAGCCATGCTGAGGTGGCGCAGCAGTCAGAGTGCAGTACTGCAGGCCATTTTAGCTGACTGTGTTCAGCAGGTCAGCGGTTCAAATCTCACCGGCTCAAGGTTGACTCAGCCTTCCATCCTTCCGGGGTAGGTAAAATGAGGACCCAGATTGTTGGGGGCAATGTAAATATATATACATACATTGCTTACTGGTGTACACCGCTTAGAGAGTGCTTGCACTTAAAGCGGTATATAAGTCTCATAAATAAATAAATAAATGCTGGCTCAGGAATTCTGGGAGTTGAAGTCCACCCATCTCCGAGTGGCCAAGGTTGAGAAATACAGGCCTAGGCTAGGGGTAGGCAACCTTGGCTCTTTTACGACATGGCTCAGCATGGAAATCTCCCCCTTTCCCCTCAGCGTGGCTGGCTCAGGAATTCTGGGAGTTGAAGTCCACGAGTCATAAAAGAGCCAAGGTTGCCTACCCCTGGCCTAGGCCTGTATTTCTCAATCTTGGCTCTTTTATGACTCGTGGACTTCAAGTCCCAGAATTCCTGAGCCAGCCACGCTGTGGGGAAAGGCAGAGGTTTCCAAGCTACGCCATGCTGGTTCAGGAATTCTGGGAGTTGAAGTCCACGAGTCACAAAAGAGCCAAGGTTGCCTACCCCTGTCTTAGGCCATTAGCCACCTTCAGAATGACACGCTCCTGTTGAGGCAAGTTAGCAGGATTAGATTTTTAGCCGCTTTCAGACGACCGAAAGGGTCTGTCCAGATCTCACCTGGTGTGTGTGTGTGTGTGTGTGTGTGTGTGTGTGTGTGTGTGTGTCCCCCACCCCAAATTCTTCTCCCCATTCTAACTAAAAGGAAGGCTGAGCATTCCTGGGCCAGCAGGATAATCAGAAAATGACAAAGGGGGCGGAGGTCCCAGCTTAGCTGAAGAATTCCCCTCCCCTCCTTCTTTCTCTCTTTCCTTCTCTCAGATTTCAATGGCTACTGTGATCGGACTGGTCGTTCTGTACATCGTAGTAGACGTAGTGGCTCCCTGGCTTAAACAGCACTGCAACAGGCTGGTGCGGAAACTGGAGGAAGTCATCGCATTTCGGGCTGGTGAGTGTCCAGTCCTTCTGGAGAGGCCTTTTTGGACTGTTTCCTTGACCTTGCACCCAACCCTACAGCCAACCAAAAGGTGATCTTGAGCTTGACGGCCACTGAGGCCACTTGTGGCCGATATGCCTCGCCAGGGACCTTTGAGAAGGTGGGGCGTTGTGTCTCCAGAGTCAACTCTGCTTCCCTGGCCCTTGGCACCTTGCTCAAGCTGCGTCTTTCCCGCCCTGGGTCAAGAAGGAAACGCCGATTCTTCTCGCTACATGACTCTGCTTGGTCCATTTCTGCTGAAGTCCACAGGATCTCACCTATCTTCTGCTCTTCTCCCCTGCCGTCCTAGAATTGGGATTTAGGATATTCCGTGCCCTTACTGCACGAGTTATCGGAGGGGGTTGTCCATCTCCCATAGCTTCTAGCAATAGCAATCAGAGACTTATATACCGCTTCACAATGCTTTACAGCATTGGGTAGAATTGGGTATGTCTAGTTTAATGAAGAGAAGGACAAGGGGGGACATGATAGCAGTATTCCAATATCTCAGGGGTTGCCATAAAGAAGAGGGAATTAAGCTATTTTCCAAAGCACCTGAAGGCAGGACAAGAAGCAACGGGTGGAAACTAATCAAGGAGAGAAGCAACCTAGAACTAAGGAGAAACTTCCTGACAGTGAGAACAATTAATCAGTGGAACAGCCTGCCTCCAGAAGCAGTAAATGCTCCAACACTGGAAGTTTTTAAGAAGAGACTGGACAGCCATTTGTCCGAAATGGTGTAGGGTTTCCTGCCTGAGCAGGGGGTTGGACTAGATGACCTCCAAGGTCCCTTCCAACTTTACTACTATTATTATTATTATTTACAGAGTCAGCATATCACTCCCCCAACAATCTTGAGTCCTTATTTTACCGACTTCGGAAGGATTGGAGTCAACCTTGAGCCGGTCTGGGTCGAACTCCTGGATGTGGGCAGAGTTAGCCTGCAATACTGCCTTCTGACCACTGTGCCACCACAGCTCTCTCCTGTCAGCTGGCTTTCATGCCTCAAGTGAGATTAGAACTCACAACCACTTGGTGATTAGCCCAAAATCACCCAGCCAGCTTTCATCCCTTAAGTGGAACTAGAATTCACAGTTTTCTGATTTCTAGCCCGGGATCTTAACTACTAGACCAGGGATAGGCAACCTTGGCTCTTTTGTGACTTGTGGACTTCAACTCCCAGAATTCCTGAGCCAGCCATGCTGAGGGGAAAGGGAGAGGTTTCCAAGCTGAGCCAGGCTGGCCCAGGAATTCTGGGAGTTGAAGTCCACAAGTCATAAAAGAGCCAAGGTTGCCTACCCCTGTACTAGACCCAACTGCTTCGTAGGATGATTTTATCCTATGTTAGTGCAATATGGGATATATATTCTTCTTTTCTTGTTTTTTAATCTGACTCTTTTACACGTTCTAGGCCACCTTTATGGAACTGGGTGGCTTTCCAAAATTATAAGTAACAGGCAACTGGGAGCCAGCTCTGCCAGCGAATTCTTAACTCCGGTGTCTGTTCCCTGTGTCTTTTTTCTTACCAGAATCCAGCCTCACCTTCTCCTCTTCCTTCAGCAGTCAAAGCTCCCTTCAAAAGCTGCCTTCTGATCTCAGTCAGGGGGATCCCAGCATTAATATCCCCTTCTCCTCCCACATCCACTCCAGAAAGGGGCCACACCACCATGGGACACAGTAGACCCGCCGTGACTTGCCAAATTCATCGGATCGGGCGGTTTTCTGGTGCCTGCGTGCGTTATCCTTCATCTGTGGCAACTGTCCAAGAAAGATCGGATTCTTTCTCACCGTTACTTGTACATAGTAAGCGCCAGCTGTCTGATTTTGGGGCCAAGGGACCCAGACAGGCCGCGCCACGCATCTGCAGATTGTGCCAGGCAGCGAGACGGCAGATATTTGTCTTTTGCCGAGGAGCAAATTGTTTGGTTGAGGCCTTCGCAAAGCAAATCTTGCCAAGGATTCCAAAATCATCCATTCCCTCCCGTACCATACCTATAAACTGGCACCGCCAAAGCAGCCAACTATCACAGCCTCCTGAACCGCAACTGAAGCATCTTTTTTCCGTTGAGGGTGGAACGGTCAAGTCAGGAGCGGATCTTGTTATTTTATTATATTTATTTATTCATTAGGTTTTGTTTCCCGCCCAGCTCACCGTGAGGTGACTTCGGGCCGCTTACAAACCTGAATTCGTTTAGGGTATTTTATTACGGTTAGGCCACCGGTTTCCCTTCCCTTCTGTTTTCTAAAAATTGTACTTCTTTATCCCGATCCTCTCTCGGATGGTGCAGTTCCGTATCTCGATGCTGGGAATTGTTACAGAGTGAAACTAAACAAGGAGGTCGCCGTTTAAAAAAAAGAAATGTGAGCGGTAGAGAAACTAAGAATCCTTACCAGCAGGGCAGGTGAGATTCTGATTGTTTGTTCGTCGTTTCCGGAATTTGGTTTTGTTTTAATAAATGTTTGGGTCCAGGCAGGCTATTTGCTATTCTTTTTCATTGGGTTATTTTGGGCACCGCCGGTCGTTCCAGAAACCCACCGGCTTCAGAAAGGGCTCCGGATTAGGTACGCTTCACTGGTGGGCACCCTCTGCCGCCTTTCCAGACTGGGAGACTGCATAGCTGGAAAACATTTCACTTTCGCCTCGGTCCTGGTGGAACTTCTCTGCAGACACCAACCTTGCCCTCTTTAGAAACAGAAATTACAAGATGTTAAGCTTAGAGCAAGGTTCCTCGGCCTCAGTGACTTTTAAGACGGATGGACTGCAAGCTCTGGAATGCCCCATCCGTATTAAAGCAGGCCGGCTGGGGGATTCTGGGACTTGAAGTCCACCCATCTTAAAGCAAGCTGGCTGGGAAATTCTGGGCGTTTGAGTAATCCTGAGAAAGCAACTGAGTGTGCAGCTCTATCCTTTTTTATCTCTATAGGCTGCAGAGAGATGTGTGTTTGTGTTTGTGTGTGCGTGTGTGTGTGTGTTGCCTCTCTTCATAGCGACCCCTTGTGACGCCTCTGAGGAGTGTCTCCGGGCAAGACTTGGGGACCAAGCAAGAACGGGAAGCTCAGATAGCGGGACCCCCACTTCCCCCTGCTCTGCACGGGTCTCAGTCGGCACCTCTGGATGCAGAAGGAGCCCCTCCGGATAGGAGCAGGGAATCCAGCATGACTGAGCATCCACACACACACCCAGACACACAAACACAAACTGTGGATTGCCTTACAGTGGACCCCTCGCAAGTGAGGCCAGAGGGTGACACTTCTGAAGAAAATCAACTAAGATGATCCAAGGCCTGGAGACTAAAACGTACGGAGAACGGCTGCAGGACTTGGGTGTGGCCAGTTTAAAGAAAAGAAGAAATAGGGAAGACACGATAACAGTCTTCCAGTATCTGAGGGGCTGCCACAAAGAAGAGGGGGGGGGTCACGTTATTCTCCAAAGCACCAGAGGGCAGGACGAGAAACAATGGTTGGAAACTGACCAAGGAGAGAAGCAACCTGGAATTAAGGAGAAACTTCCTGACAGGACAATCAACCAGTGGAACAGCTGGCCACCAGAAATCGTGGGCGCTCCATCGCTGGTGGTTTTCAAGAAGAGACTAGACAGTCACTTGTCTGAGATGGTATAGGTCAGTGGTTCTCAACCTGTGGGTCGGGACCCCATTTGGGGTCGAACGACCATTTCACGGGAGTCGCCAAACAATGCAGTCCGCCATTTCCCCCCCCCCCCTTTTCCTTAGCTGTGTTACTCCCTTTTATTCTATTGGCTTTTGAAAGCCAATAGAATAGACTCTCTTGAATAGAGTCTAATTCGATTGGCTTTCAAAAGCCAATAGGAACTGTCCAGGCTGTCTCTGCCCTGCTGAGCCCGCCAAAAGTCCCCTTCTGCAAACGGTGCTTGCACCCGTTGAGTAGTCCTCGACTTACGACCGGTGGAGTAGTCCTCGACTTACAACCGGTTGGGGGGGGTCGCGGCATTAAAAAGGTTGAGAACCACTGGCATAGGTTCTCCTGCTCGAGCAGGGGGCTGGACTGGAAGACCTCCAGGGTCCCTTCCAGCTCTATTCCATTCAAGAACTAGTTTTTGCAGGGGGGGGGGAAGAGATCGGCGGCCAGCTCAGCAGCTGGTATCCCCGTTCCCAGCACTGGAAGGCAGAGGAGAAAACACGGGTGGTGTGGAGAGCAGAGCAGCAATTCTGGTCGGACCCCCCACCCCTGAACCCCCCCCCTCGCACCCCTGCAAGGCTGAATTGGGCTCTCTCGGCTTCGCTCCACCCCCCCCCCGGCCGGCAGGAGCTGTCCAGGGTCCTGCAGGCGATCCCAGCATAGTCCTGCAGACGCCACTCCTGAGATCCGCTCCCAGGGCGAAGCTGTCTCTTTTGTATCCAGAGCCAGCCGGGCTGTTGTCGGGACAGGATCTCTGCAGCGGCCTCCGGCTCCAGGGGCCTGTTTTTTTTTTTTTTAATTTTAATTTTTTTTTTATCACTGGACAGCAGCGCTGCATCTCAAACCAGTAGATAGCGATGCTGCGTTGCTCCGGGGACCCTCGGAGACAAAGACGCGTTTCTATTCAGGAGTCGGTTCTTTGTCCCTGCCTTAATCCATCACGACTCTGGCCAAAGATAAGGGGTGGCTGGGGTGGGGGGGTGGCTGGGAAGAGGCCTTCCGCTAGGCGGAGGACAGCACCTGGTGGCCTCCTTTTCAGGCAGAAATACGAAGGGCTGAAAGTCTCCCAGGAAGGCAAATAATGGCAGAGATAAATCAAGGAGGGCTTTGCCTCGCTTCTGTCCCATTGCCTAGGGCTTCTCCACCTTGCAAGTGGGAGGACTTCAACACCCAGAATTCCCCAGCCGGCCAGGCATCTCTTTTCAAACTGCCAAGGTGGAAAAACACGGCCGTATGGCTCTAAAGTAGGCAACATATAACAATCATCCTGAAGAGTTTGCAATAGGATGGGCCGGCCACCGGTTGTGATGGTTTTCTGCCTTCCGGCTGAAAATCTCCTACTTACTAGATTTATTTATTTTATTTTATTTTATTTTATTTTTAAAATTTATAAGCCGCCCCACTCCCGCAGGACTCTGGGCGGCTAACAATAAAAACACCATAAAACATGACAAAACAAACAGTACAAGAACAGTCATCCAGGGGTCAGATTTTATAAAACCCCAGGCCTGCCGGAAAAGCCAGGTCTTAAGCAACTTGCGGAAAACCAACAGGGTGGGAGCGGTCCTAATCTCTGGGGGGGGGGAGCTGATTCCAAGACGTGGGCGCCATCACAGAGAAGGCCCTCCTCCGCGGCCCCGCCAAATGGCACTGCTTGGCCGACGGGGCCTGAAGGAGGCCCAGCCTGTGGGATCTAACTGGATGAAGGGAACTATGAGATAGTAGGCGGTCTCACAAATAGCCTGGCCCTGAGCCATATAGGGCTTTAAAGGTAATAACCAACACCTTGAATTGGACCCGGAGACCAATAGGCAACCAGTGCAGCTCACGGAGGATAGGTATAACGTGGGTGTATCGAGGAGCACCCACTATCACTCGCACGGCTGCATTCTGGACCAACTGTAGTCTCCGAATACTTTTCAAGGGTAGCCCCAGGTAGAGCGTGTTGCAGTAGTCCAGACGTGAGGTGACAAGGGCATGAGTGACTGTAAGGAGAGCCTCCCGGTCCAGGTAGGGTCGCAACTGGTGCAACAGACGAACTTGTGCAAAGGTCCTCCCAGCCACAGCCGTCAAATGATGTTCCAAATTCAGCTGTAGATGCGGTATGGACAATTCTGCAAAGGAAAACTGGGGTTTTTTTAATCTTTTTTTCCGATGCTCACCCTGTTATCATTTCAGAGAGCGAGTTAGAGTTTGTCAGAGACTCACATTTTGATCGTGTGACCTGGCAACAGTTGTTAAGTGCAAAAAATGGGTCGCAGGTCACTTCCCCCCCCCCAGTACTGTTATAACTTACAACGGTCTCTAAACAAATAGTTGTAAATCAAGGATTTGCCTGTAGTCAGACCTGGCTTGAGTCCTAGGCTGCATCCACAGAGAGACAGCGTCCAGATCCCGAAAAGTGATAGGATCGCTCTAGTGCAGTGGTTCTCAACCTTTTTAATGCCGCGACCCCCAACCGGTCGTAAGTCGAGGACTACTCAATCGGTCGTCAGTCGAGGACTACTCAACTGGTGCAGCACCGTTTGCAGAATGGGACTTTTGACAGGCTCAGCAGGGCAGAGACAGCCTGGACAATTCCTATTGGCTTTTGAAAGCCAATAGAATTAGACTCAATTCAAGAGAGTCTATTCTACTGGCTTTCAAAAGCCAATAGAATAAAAGGGAGTAGCACAGCTAAGGAAAAGGGGGGAAAAAAATGTCAGACTGCGTTGTTTGGTGACCCCCGTGAAATGGTCGTTCAACTCCAAATGGGGTCGCGACCCACAGGTTGAGAACCACTGCTCTAGTGCATTGTTTCCCAACCTTGGCGACTTTTAAGATGGGTGGACTTCAATTCCCAGAATTCCCCAGCCAAGGTTGGGAAACATTGCTCTAGTGAGGAGGCCCACTTGGTCAACCCCATGTAGAGAGAGCTCTACGTAAACCTCTCTGGATGTTCAAAAAAATGCACATGCCCAACTTTGGCTAGCCAACATGCACCTGTCTAACTTTGGCTAGCCGTTCGGCTAAACTTTTGAGAAGATGGCCTGTTTACTTGGCCGTCAGGAAAACGAGGAGCATTGGGTTCAATCCCAACATGCCCTCCGGAACTTCACAAGCCACCACCCTTCCACCTCTTAGTACGAAAGAATGTAATTTGCTCCCCGTTGCAACTCCGGGGCCCTTATCCAGGAGCTATTTTTAGCTGCTATTAACCTCCCGACTTCCACCATTAGGGCCTCTTTGCCACTGCTGGAGGCCACGGCCAATTTGTCTAATTAAAGAGAATTAAGGAAGAAATGTCCCCAATTAAAGGCGGAGAAACTGCCTATCCTGGAGGTAGTCTTTTGGTCATGGGTGTCACATAGAATTAGGCAAGACGGGGACCGCTTTCAGAGCTGACTCTCTAGAGAAGAAGACCCCCCCCCCCTCTCCAAGGTGATAAATTGGCAATGGATCTGATTTGTGCCCCAAAGGGGTGATTTGGGGATTTCCAGCCAAACTTAAAAATAAATTAAACCAAGGCTTTAAATGCTGCGGAATGCTTTCTTCCAGCCCAAATACCCATGAAACTGTGAACAGATTTTTTTTCCCCCATTCTTTTTCTTTAATTTCCCATATTAACAGGGCAATAAGACTCTGGGGCATCATTTAAACTCTGGAGAATCTCAGTGGATCTCAACAAATTGCACATTAATCCCGCTTAACGTGGTTTAATCAGCTTTTCCTTCTTGTAATCAAAGGACCAGCCCGTCAACTTATATTTGGATTCCCGCCTTCCTGCTGGGAGCCCCCCCCCTTTTTTTTTTACCCTGCGACATTCTG